CCTGTCACGAAGCTGTGTGGTGGGTTACTTGAGCCATGGTCTTGCAGAGGACAAGTGCTATCTGCTCCAGATGGCGGCATGATATAGGAGGAAAGAGGGTGACCGAACTGATGGATTTGTTGACCAGTTGTGTCACTTAATGATTGGATGTCAAATGAAGATAATTTCTAATTTACAGGACTGTTTGAGAATTAGAGACAACATTTGTGAAATGCCAGGCACATGGTAGGCAAATTAAATGGTAGCTATTATTATAAAGCCATTGTAGGTGGGTAGTGCTAATTCCTTGAGCTGAATAGATTTTTGAGGGACCTTGCTATTTTAAAGATTATTTCAAGTCTGTTTGGAAATAATGATGACTGAAGTAAATTATGTGCAAGTGTTTCAAGTTGTAGCTTATTAAGAAGCAGGTGACCTCAGCTATCAGTCTTTAGACTCAGACTTCAACGTCAAACAGTAACTTCTTTGTGTGGTGGATGTTTTCCAGAGCAGATGTAAAGTATCTCCTGTTAATGCTTAGGGAACTTCCTAATTGCATCTGGAGACTGAATTTCATTTTGAGAAGTTATTCTTCAATTTTCCATGTAATCTTAGTTCTTGTGTTAAACACAAATAAATTTGCAGTGCTTTAAAATTTGCTGCCATGCTTAGTAATACATCTAGAAGACATTTTAAAATTAAACTTTGGACATGCATATAAAATTTATGTATAAGTATGTATACATACATAAATATATAGAGAAGTTATATGTAACTGTATTATCATGGACTCTTTCCATACGTCTTCTTTCACTCAAGTTTGTGCATGTTATTATGGGGTGACTATAGTTCACTCAGACCCATTGGTGTGTATTCCATTGTATGACTGACCCGCAAGCTGTTTATTTATCTTACTGATGATGGACATTTGGTTTGTTTCTGAGTTTGGGCTAATATGAAAGTGTTTCTATGAACTTATTTGTACACACCACTTTTTAAAATCTGAAAGTTATTTTGCTATACACCTCTGAAAATTATCTGCTATGGTTACATTTTAGTATGATGATGATTAGATCTCTACTTTCCATTTATTGCTAAGTTGGTCCCATTTGTAAATCCAGTGGATTTGGAGACTGGTTTGGTCATACTATTTTCAAACTAGTACTGATGTAAAGGGATTTTTGATGAAGACAAAAAAATTGACCTTAGAGGTTTTTTCTACTTTATTTTTTGTTGTAACAACATAAGATGCTTTTACTGACCACCAAAGCTTCTCTTTAGTGAATAAGAACAGTGTTAGGTACCGTTAGAAATGTTGAAAGTATTATATTTTTAAATTGCTTGCGTGAACGTTATTAGAGTAATACTGGAATAAGTCTGGATGAATGCTGTTTAAAATTTTTTCTTATGTAATTCTCTTCTGCTTTTTCCATGTCTTTTTTTTTTTAAAGATTTTATTTATTTATTTGAGAGAGAGAGGGCACATGCGTGAGTGGGGGGAGGGGAAGGGGGAAAATCTGAGGCAGACTCCCTGCTGAGTGCAGAGCCTGACACAGGGGGGCTCGATCCCATGACCCTGAGATCATGACCTGAGCCAAAACGAAGAGTTGACGCTCAATCAACTGAGCCACCCAGGCACCTCTGTTTTTTCTATTTCATTTTGTAAATAAGTACTGGATTCCTCGATGCTCTTACACAACTGGAGCTGCTTCTAATGCAGTACCTGCTCTATGAGATGGTGGATTTCTCAGAGGCAGAGATCGGGTCTCATTCAGCTCATCCTTTTACGTGCAGTGACTATCCTCATGGGGGAACTTTATAAATGGTTATGGGGTAATTAGGTTACTGTCAGATTTAGCCAGTTTCTAATTTAAAAACAAGCAAAACAACAACAGCCCCCAGAAGGTAATTACTGGATGACATTTTAATCTAGTTGTTAAATGCTCATTTTTCTATATTTTAGAGTTTTATATAACACCAGGAAAGATTCTCCTGTAATAAATGCGTACATACAGTCATCCAATACCAACTACAGCTTTTAGGCCATTCTTCTATGACTACCATTCTCACCCCTCCCTTGGAAGGTGGGGCAGAGTTGAGCTACATTGACTCTAATGGAAACTTAGAACCAGTCCACAGGGTAGAACCCGATGAGGCTCAGGAAAGGGAATTGCTGCTGGGAGAGGACGTGATAGTAGTTGGAGCCAGGTTAGGGAATGCGTGAAAAGTTCACAAAATTTAGTGTAGGTTTCATGTTCTTTAGGTACCAGTGGGCAGAGAGAGTTTGGGGGTGCACTGCAGCTCCCAGAGTGAATAAGGGTAGTAGCCAAATTAGACATGGACACAAAACACAGTCTATTCCAGTGGAGAGCAGGCATGGGCATGGAGAGGTCTGAGCCTTGCTCTTGTCCCAGCCAGCTATGTGACTGTGTGCGAGTCACTGCCGTTTCTGGCCTCAGGATTTTTAGTCTCAAGAAGAAGGGAGTTGGCCTGCATGAGCCGTCATGTCCTTTTTATAGGAGGTAAGACTCCAGTTGCTCAGTTCTGTGCATGTCATGCAAGAAAGGAACACCCTTCTGCTCTGATGCCAGGGGTACATCCATAGAAAGAAACAGGCTAAAGTTGAGCAAACAGCTGGAACATTTAAAGAGCCAGGTTGGGGTCATTCAGTTTTCCATCCAAATCCCACCTTTGCCTTGAGTATTGTGTCTCTAGTCTTCTTTTATAGTAGTGAACAAATAGCCAGAGCATCTACTGCCTTTTCCTTTGGTGCCAAAGATTTGTATCAAATAGCAACCCTGATTATATGACCAAGGCTTTAAAAAATATGAGACTACTTTTTATCCAAATTTTATGATTTAACTCAACCCTGTGCAGTCCCCTTGACTCAGACCACCTTGAATTTATCTGATTTCTCCACTTTCTTGGTAAATTTGTTACTGAAGGGGTAATGCCAGCCACTGTTGTAGAGTGAACATGTTGGATGTGAAGATATTTTTCCACATAAAGAATGTAGATTCTGGGCGCCTGGGTGGCTCAGTTGGTTAAGCGACTGCCTTCGGCTCAGGTCATGATCCTGGAGTACCGGGATCGAGTCCCGCATCGGGCTCCCTGCTCGGCAGGGAGTCTGCTTCTCCCTCTGACCCTCCTCCCTCTCACGCTCTCTGTCTCTCATTCTCTCTCTCAAATAAATAAGTATAAAAAAAAAAAAAGAATGTAGATTCTGGGGTGTGGAGCATTACTGAACTTCCAGGCACACTCAGGACACATGTTTCTTGGAAAACATCTACCTGAACCCAGCTTTACCAGCACAAAATGAGAAATATATGTCAAGTACAAATTCGGCAGGAAAAAAAATCTAAGCATAAAAATGGGTGCTAAGCTGAACAGGGGGAAAACACCAAAATATAGCGGGCACATGTTTGGTCAGCCTGTCCTACACCTAGGGCAACTTAGTAGAAATAGTAGATACAGCAGAAAGAGCACTTAGTTTAGGCCAACCTGTGTGATTGATTCTTAGATTCTTTTCTCATCTGTAAAAAGGGAATGACAGCATCTACTCTTTAAAGTTGTAGGGTTAAAGCTAATGTATGTAAAACATCTGTCTGGCACATTTTTAAAAAGGTAACTGTTATTTTTTTGAATTAGGTTTTATAGACTAAAAAAGTTGATGTTAAGCTGGGAAGATGCTAAAACCAATGTACACCATTCAATTCAATGCAATAATGATTTCTTAATGCTTTACTGTGCCACATGTCTGATGATAAAAAATACACATAAGGGGGCTTACATTTACATCTTGGAAATACACAATATCCATAGACAAAAAGACAAACGAGAAGACATTTCTTTTGGGATGGTCCGAGCTGAGATCTACGTAAGATTTTCTTGATTTTCTTGATACTTCTGGAACAGATTATTGGTGAGGGGCAAGGAATCTGTCCCGAAGGAGTCACTCCCTTGCTTTGCTTCCATATCACCTGTGGTTCTACACTGTCAAGAGGAAGTATTAAACTTAATGACTTCTAAACTCTCAACATCTTTGAAGATCAATGATCTTTTGAACAATAATATCAATGACTGACTGAAGCACCACCTGAAGGCCCACAGGTTGCATGTGGAATGAGTTAAAAGGAGGTGAGAAGGTGACAAAGGACATGGCCCATGACAGTTTGCTGGGTATCCTCAGTCGTAGGATGTTGGGAGAGTGTGCTGGCAAAGGACTTAAGCAGAACCACGTATAGCCTGTGGAGAAGGAGGTGGAATAAAGTTTTCTTGGTTGCTGACTTGACCATGAGGACACGGTTGCCTATGGCTTTGTTTTACCTGAATAAAGGAAGTTTTACCACAATAGAATCACATCCCCCAAAGACATGTTTAAGACCTAATCCCTGATATCTATGAATGTGCTCTTGTTGAGAAATGGGGTCTTTGCAGATGTCATTGAGTTAAGATGAGGTCATACTGGATTAGTGTGGGCCCTAATCCAATGACTGGTGTCCTTATAAGAAAGGGGAAATGTGGACTCGCACAGAAGACACAGGGAAGAACACCACGTGACGATGGAGGCAGAGATTAGTGATGCCTCTATAAACCAGGGAACGCCAACGGTTGCTGGAAACCACCAGAAGTTGGGAGAGAGGCAGGAAACAGATTTTCCCTGACAGCCTCCAGAATGAACCAATCCTGCCAACACCTTGATTTTGGACATCTGGTCTCTCAAACTGAAGGAGGATAAATTCCTGTTGTTTAAGCCACCTAGTTTGTGGTAATTTGTTACGGCAGCTCTAGGAAACTAATTCACATCATTAAATGAAAATAGACCTCTGTCTGGATCAATATCAATATGGACATCAATATCTATATACCAGGATGATGATGACCTTAGTTTTTGAGTTTTTAATAACATGCTGAATCATTGTATATGATTATATCTCATGTATTTAAAATGAGAATTGTTTATCTTCCTCTGATCATCATGTTTTCTCTCTCTGTTTTGTTTTGTTTTTGGTTTTAGACTGTCGTCAATCTCAGGATGGATTCTCTCGTGGCAGCCAACACCAAATTTTGCTTTGATCTTTTCCAGGAGATAAGGAAAGATGATCCTCATAAAAACATTTTCTTCTGTCCTCTGAGCCTCTCGGCTGCCCTTGGCATGGTCCGCCTGGGGGCCAGAAGTGACAGTGCACAACAGATTGACCAGGTGTGGATCTAGTATCTCTGGGTCCACTCTCAGAGTCAGACCCTAGTCCCCTTTGGCAAGCCACGCTGCTCACTGAGCCTGAGGCTCAGGGGGAGGCTGCATCTGCCCTGGAGTTTTCATTTACATCCCACCTTGCTCTCTCTTCAAGGCTCAGTTAAACCTCTGCCTCCTTCATGACCCTTCTTCAGCCTCCCAGCCTCATAGCTTTTCTCAGTCACCTTCTCTGTCTCCGTCTGTCTGTCTGCATGTCTGTCCCCCTTCCACTCTATAATTATCCATACTGATATCACTAGCAATATTTTTAATGTCTATGTGTTTTCTCTCTTTCTGTAAGTAAATCTTTAGTAAGCATCAATTATGTATCCAGTGGCTAAAGATCTTGGCGTCCTCCTTGACTTCTGTCTTTCTTTCTCACTTCACATCAGACTCCAAAAGGCTTTTCTCTTGATACACATCCAGAACACAGGTGCTTCCCACTGTGTCCCTGAGGTTTGACTCACCACCATCCTCTCTAACCTGGATGCAACTTCCTCATGCGCTTCCTTGCTTCTGCTGACAGTCTGTTCTCAACCTGGCTGCCAGAAAGATCCTTTAAAAACCTCATTCAGAGCCTATTTCTCATCGTTTCAAAACCTGGACTTCCAATTTAGCTAATGATAGAAGCCCGAGTCCGTACAATGGCCCATGAAGATCTAATATCTGAATTCCTGACAACCAGGTGACTCCCTCTGTCATCCTGTCCCCTCCCCACTCCTCCAGGCACACTGGCCTCCAGATTCCTTGGGTAAGCATGCCCACTCCTGCCTTAGGGCCTTTGCTACATTCCCTTTGCCTAATGGTTCCCGGCCCCACCCCCCGATAACTGATCTATAACTTACTTTCTCCTTCAGGACTTTGATCAGAGTTTACCTTCTCAACCAGGCTTACCTTGACCTCTCAATCTAATGTTGCATCCTGACTCCCAACCCTGTAAAATTCCCTCTTACCCTAGCTACTTTTCCCCCACATGGCATTTTCCATCTTCCAAGATAATGCATACAGTAATTCATTACTATGTGCCTCCCCCGCTAGAATATAATCCTACAGATGGTGAAAATCTTTGTCCTAGAATAGTGCTTGGTTTATAGTAGCCATCCAATACAAAGTTGTAGAATGAATGAATGAATGAATGTGACAAGAACAACTCCCCAAATAATCAACAGGCTCCTCAGGTTGGTCTTAAAACTTCCCTGGATCTCACATACCGCACAGAGTTTATGTGGGGACCCCACTGTTGTCCCTAGTATGGAGGAGTTGAATTCTTGGATTAAGGTAGAATATGTTTGGGGTCATTCTGCTTTATTCATTTACTTTTATTAGGAATATTATTTCACTGGCGAAACTTAGCTTTAGAGTGTGATTGGCATCCTTCCGGTCAGGTTTCAGATGTTCTTTCTCCAGGCACTTGGGTTTTGCCTGCCCAGCAAAACTGTCCTGAGCAGTGCAAGATGTGTATTTGTCTCTTACTTTTCTGCAATGCTCTGGGTAGCTGTCTTTTGCTGTCCTCACTTGCTTGATCGATCGGAAGGTCTAGATCAGTGCTAACACAAATACAATTCAAATCCCATATGTAATTTAAAAAAATTTAGCAGCCATAAGAAAGTAAAAAGAAATAGGTGAGACTAATTTTAATAATGTATATTATTTAACTCAATACTTCCAAAATATCATATCAACATGTAATCAAACAATATAAGTGAGATATTTTACATTTTTTTTTTCATACTAAGTCTTCAAAAATCCAGTGTGTGTTTTACACTAAAGCCTGGCCAGCTCAATAGCCACGTGTGTCTCATGGATCCCTCGATAGCCTTTTAGTTTGGTTGCATTCGTTCTTAAATGTGGACCCCGGGGGTAACATGCAGTTTACTTCCTTCTGTTCCACCTCACAGCCAAGTCAAAAGAAACATCCACTACCCTTTGAACTGTTGTTGATTTTTTGACTATGGAATCACTGTCCCTGTCACACTATGAAAACATTTCTGAAGCTGTTCAGACCTCCTGCTGTTTGTACTGTCTGAGAGACCCCGTAATCATCCTCCCACAGGTACTACACTTCAATGAATTTTCCCAGAGTGAACGAAAAGAACCTGATCCCTGTCTGAAAAGCAAAAACCAAGAAGTGCAGGTGAGCCACCCTGAGCTCCTGTCCCTCTTCTTATGACCTGCTCATTCTGGTTATGCCATATTTGACAATGGTTACTTATCCCCAGACGTTAGGACCTGGCTGTCATCAGCAGCAACAACAATAGCAAGAATGCCATGGGACCTCCAATTCCTTTCTGATTATGCATCTTTTATGTCGTTGGCTGTAAGCTAGTCTCCTAAAGAGTAGGATATGGTATCTTCTGCTCATGATGAAGACAGAGCAAAGCCCCGTGACTCACCTCCTTTTCCAGGCCACAGGTCCTCAGGATGGAGCATGGTTGAGGATGAAGGGTAGTAAGGGATAGGAATCAGCTGTGGGAGTCTTACTCTCTTTCTATACCTTGGCCTGTCTGTTTCGTGGGGTAATCTACTGGTACACAAAGCTTTTATTGGTTCTCATACCAGGAGTGGGAAAGATATTTTCCTAGTTAAATACCCCTGTACCTTAGAAAGTTTAAGAGGAAGGTGGAGAGAAGATTGTCTTTTTCTTGTATCTTTTTGAATATAGAGAAAAACGAGGTGCACAGATCTAAAACATAGCGTGCACTGCTGAGTCCCCAGATGTATTGTTCCTGGATGACCTTGATACCAAGTGGGAGCCATGATCTTCCACTGGGACCTCTTCCCGCCCTCCATTCCTCCCTTCTTCTCACTTGCTCCCCCACGTGGTAACAAAGTGAAACGACAACGTGGTCTCGTGGCATTTTACTCTCCTGATCAGGTCACATTTTCTTTCTTCTTTTGTCAGGCCGAGTCTTCCAGTGATGAGAGTGGACTGCTCAGTTGCTACTTCGGGCAGCTTCTCTCCAAGATAGACAGGATCGGAGTTGATTACAACCTAAGTATTGCCAACCGGCTTTATGGAGAGCAGGAATTCCCCATCCGTCCGGTGAGTTCGGCATGGCTGGTGATTAAAACTATCATAAGGCATGCTATTTAAAAATCAGTGAGTAGGGCGCCTGGGTGGCTCAGTTGGTTAGGCGACTGCCTTCAGCTCAGGTCATGATCCCAGGGTCCTGGGATCGAGTCCCGCATCGGGCTCCCTGCTCTGCAGGGAGCCTGCTTCTCCCTCCCCCACTCACCCTGCTTGTGTTCCCTCTCTCGCTGTGTCTCTGTCAAACAAATAAATAAAATCTTAAAAAAAAAAAAAATCAGTGAGTAGCTGGATTACTCACCTGGCATCTGGAACGCAATCCTCTCTGACAGAAGGATGTGCTGTGGACTTGGGGGGTTCCCCGGGGCCCACCTCTTTCTCTCCCACACTGTCTGTTGCCCTTCTCCCAGTTTTCAGTTGAGCAGTTTATGAGGCCCATTGTGGGTGGAAAGAGGGTCCTGGGACTAATAGCTTTTGGAGGTAGCTCTTCTTCCCGTCCCTCCACGCTCCTTCCCCAGCGCTTCTCCAAAATCCCCTTTCACGCCACCATCAGGCCGCCCCTCGATAGAATCATACTCAGCAGCACTGCGGGGTTGCAGAAGGAGACTGCGTTTGGAGCCAAAGGGCGCCCGGCTTGCTCCGTGGCTGAGCAGCGTGGACCTACCGCAAGGCACATCAGCTTCTTCAGTCACCACTGCAAGGAGCCACAGACTTAGCAAAGGACATGAGGGGTGTGACCACAGGCAAATGTGTGATGCAGTTGGTTAGGCTGGTCTAGTGAGGGGGCGGGCTTAGCCTCCTTTGGCCAACGTAGTAAGTATGTTCTCTCACAGTGGAAATGAGCTTTTCGATACTGTCTTTTTTTTTTTTTTAAACTAGCTTTATTGAGGTATAAATTCACATATCATACTATTCACCTACGAAAAATGTACGCGCCAGTGGTTTGGGTATATTACCTTGTAATTGTGGTAAAATATAATGTAAAAATGGCTATTTTAACCATTTTTAAGTATGCAATTCGGTAGCATTGATCACATTCACGATGTTGTATAAGCACCACCCAATTTCCAAAATGTTTTTATCGCTCCAGAAACTCTGTAACCATTAGTTAGGGTTTTAATTCTTAAAAATAGAGGCATTTTATAGTTAAGCTTCTCAAATTACTTGATCCTCATGTTGCAGTGTCTCCACAAATGAGATGTCCAAGGAAAAGGGTATCTGGTAGGAACGGGCTTGTGCCCTTGTAACTGTGGGCTGCTTCATGAATAGTCATTCTTTTTTCTTTTTAAAAAAGATTTTATGTATTTATTTTTAGAGAAAGAAAGAGAGAGTGTGTGAGCTGGGGGAGGAGTAGAGGGGGAGGGAGAGGAAGGGGAAAGAATCTCAAGCAGACTCTGCACTGAGTGCAGAGACGGATGTGGGGCTCCATCTCAGGACCCTGAGATCATGACCTGAGCAGAAACCAAGAATCAGACACTTAACCGACTGAGCCACCCAGGCATCCCATGAATAAGCATTCTGTATCCTAAATTGTCACCACAGTGAGTGAAAAAGGCCTCTGGCTAATTAAGAGTGGAGATAGATAGACACCACGTGCATCCTGTTTAAATGACCATCTCTCTCATTAGGCTTCTCCTGACTGCCTCACACCTAACGATTAGCATGGTTATCTGATTTCATTGTACTATTTCTCTTTATTCCAATTTAACAGGACTACTTAGATGGTGTGATTCAATTTTATCACACAACCATTGAAAGTGTTGATTTCCGGAAGGACACCGAAAAGTCCAGACAACAGATTAACTTTTGGGTTGAATCTCAGTGCCAAGGTAAGAAAGACCAAACACATTGTAGCTGGTGTTCTTTTCCATTTAAAAGGAGAAAAGTCAGCCCATGGTCTCAGATTGCTAGTCTGTCAAAACCAGGTGCTCACATACATGGGCCGTGTTCAAAGCCAGTTTTGTAGGTGCAAACAGCTAAACTCTTACGCTGTGTTACTCCTTTGCTCCATCAGAAAATGTGAAATCCTTTCAGCCAAGCACATGCCAGCAGGATGTTAACTATTTCCATTTTTTTTTTTAACAAAAGGTCAGTAGAAAGACTGTGAAGAGAATCTAGTTATTCAGAGGGAAAAGGAAATAATAAAATCCCAATTTTTATCAACTTTTCACTAAGTACGTAGGTGTTTTCTGGATGAAGGGGTGTTTAGAGATAGTGATGAGTAGTGAAATTTAGAATTCAACATAAAATGGAATAATTTTTTAATATGAAACTCCCCTGTCTGGCCTTGTCTTGCGCACCCAAACTCCAAAATTATTTCTCCTTACTTGGTCCACGTGCCACAAAAATTCCCATTCCTTCAAGGTTCCACTCAGTTGCCAAGAGGAAAAGCGTGTTCACTAAAAAAATTTATACTAAGGCACTAGTTAAATCTCCTGGAGTATTTTAAGCGTAGGTGATGTCAACATAATCTATTATTTATGGAGTTTACGTGGAAGTCTTGCAGTAGAAAGCTCTACTCATCTTTAAGGACTCGGCATGCATTCAGATGACCGGTGGTTTGGTATTTTGTGGTGGAAAGAATGCATACTGCAAACAGATGATTGCCTGACGGCATGGGATTTTCCAGTCCACCTCAGGGCTGTGTTATGGTGGAAGGAGCCTCAGAGCTGGACCAAGAGCAGGACAACAATACCTACTTCTCATGGTTGACATGGGATGGCATGGGAGAGGACATGTGAAAGCCCCTATCGAATAGATTTTATATCCTGGCCTAGCATATTTATATGCATTTTTGTTTATATGTAAGCATATACCTTTTGCTCTGATGAGCACTCGAGATAGGAAGTTTACACAGTAGTCTGTTTCTCAAGGAGGTTATAATATAATCAGGTGGCAGAGTCTACTTTGAAAGGTAGATCACGGGGTGGGTAACCTGGTGAAGGGTACTAAAGAGGGCACGTGATGTGATGAGCACTGGGTGTTACACACAACTAATGAATCATTGTACACCACATCAAAACAAAGGATGTACTATATGTTGGCTAATTAAACTTAATAAAAAAAAAGAAAGGTAAGTCATGGCATAGATGTCTACTGGCAAGTTCCAACAACAGTGACTCAGGGAATGGAAGGAAATTCCCTCAGTTTCAGTGATTTAGAACGGGTCCCTCTTGGGGTTGAGTGACAGTGTGTCTCCCCAACACACCCCCCTCTCCCCCTCCACCGCATCCAGGACTGGGAGTGGTGTAATTTTCTTGGGTTAGTCCTTGAATCAGACATGCCCTAGCCTTGGGGAGGGGAAGCGGCATGAAGGAAAATCTGTCTACATGAATACTTCTGGCACAATTCACATTCAGGATGTTCTCTGAAACCTTTTTTAAGGTAAAATCAAGGAACTCTTCGACGAGGAAGCTATTGACAGCGCAACCATACTGGTGCTGGTGAATGCTGTTTACTTCAAGGCCAAATGGGAAAAATATTTCGATTCTGAAAACACAGTTGATGCGCTTTTCTTTCTAAATGAGGTATGATATCACAGCACATGGTTTTCTAGATATTGCACTCATAATTTCCACTAAGAAGTATGATTTGCAGTATGTACACTCAACTTTAAAACTTAGGTCTCCGGGTGACATACAATATGATAAGAATATTTTGTTATTAGCAAAAATTAGTATCTGAAGTTCATTGACCATCTTGGTGCCAGACACTGCCCTGAGCATTTTCCATTCATTATTTCACTTGTTCGCTAAAATATCATTATGAAAATGAGTCTTACTATTATTCCCTCTTAGGACTTGAGGGGAAAGAATGCAAAGGTTCGGTTACTTAGCTAAGTTCACGCATTAGCATTCACATCTGTGAGTATTTGTCTCAAAAACCCGTGTTCTAATCCATCAGACTGTAGAATGGAGGAAAGGGAAGGTTGGGATCCCAGCCCAGCACCTGTCAGCTGTGTTCCTCTTGCAAGCGCTGTGCATCTTCTTTTTTTTTTTTTAAAGATTTTATTTATTTATTTGAGAGAGAGTGAGAGAGAGAAAGAGCACAAGAGGGGGGAGCGGGAGAGGGAGAAGCAGACTCCCTGCCAAGCAGGGAGCCCGATGCGGGACTCGATCCCGGGACTCCAGGATCATGACCTGAGCCGAAGGCAGTCGCTTAACCAACTGAGCCACCTAGGCGCCCAAGTGCTGTGCATCTTCATCTGTAGATTGGTGACTTCTCACATATACAAGGTGTCTGGGGTGGTGCCCTTTCGTCTGATGGAAGCCTATGGAAGAAGTGCTATTATTTACTATGTAGATGATTATCATTTAACCAAGGCTCCAACTGGTGCTGTGGTGGGTCATTCAGGCCAGCGAGGGCAGGGGGTCACGTGGGGCCAAGAGACTGGGTGGTGCAGGCACAGAAGGTAGAAAGCTGGTGGGGCTTATTTCCCCTGGCTAGGCTGTAGGGAGATTCGTGGATAGACAGTTTACCAACGAGTGGTCTTGGGAGCTGAAGAACCTCTTAAAACCATGGGAAAATAAGGTGTTGGCAAAGGAAGGGCTGACTGATCGGTGGGCAGAGGGCTCTTAGGTTGGATCACTGGTGTGGCTCAGAGCTTCTGGTGAAGACCCTTCTCATCTTAATGGAGAGATGGAGGCCATGTGAGCTTACCGTGGCAGTCCTGCGACTTTCTATCTTGTCCACTGCAGAATGAAAAGAAGACTGTGAAGATGATGAAGCAAAAGGGCCTATTTCGAATCGGCTTCATAGAGGAGCTGAAGGCACAGATCCTTGAAATGAGGTATATTAAGGGGGAGCTCAGCATGTTCGTCCTGCTGCCTCCTTACTCTGCAGATAACGTGAAGGGCCTGGAAGAGGTAAGTCTTCACTTTCATGTTTCTACAAAATATTTCAGTGTCGATCTTTGGAGAGCAGCCCTATTTACTATCTACCTGCCTGAGGAAGGCTAGCACCTCATCTACTAGAGATATCAGAGAATATATAGGAATCTCAACTCGGTGAGATAGTTCTTCTACATTGGTTTAGAAAAGGACAAATGCCAAAGATGTTGGATAGGGCTTTCCTCTCCCATCTTATAGCTCTCTGCAGTTGTTCTCCAGACCAAGGAATCTGGACACGGAGTGATGTGAGAATTGCTACAAATGAACCAGCTTTCCTTTCCTCTGAATAGCCTGACTTCCGGCCTCTTGCTTGGACTATTTTGCTATGGCTCACATAACGACCTGTGAGCTAAACTCTGTTTTTGGGTGCAAGTGCCTTGACAGAGTGGAGATACTGCCGCTGGGATAGATTGCTTGTGAAGTGGGAATCAGTGAAGGCTGGGGAGCCTTGGCTCTATGTTGTTCTGTGCGGTGAAGAGGTGGACACAGAGGGAGAGAGAAATCCCCGGATAGTGATCACAAGAATAGCCATTATTCAAAATGTATTGTATGCCAGCACTATGTTAAATACTTTACATACATCATTTTGTTCAATCAGAGCCTAATGGTATTATCTCTGTTTTATAGAAGAGGGGATTGAGCCTCAGAAAGCTAAGGCTTGGCCAAGCTCGCCCAACTTGGGTCAACTGAGCTTTGCTGGGCTTTGACACCCAGACACCAGTCTGTCAGACACCAGAGGACACCAGAATTGGTATCAAATTGTCCTGTGACTTCGAAAGAGGAAAGAGACTTGCTTGGGGGAATTTAAATGAGATCAGAGTAGTTTGAGGCTTAGGGAAGGATCTTGAAGATTGTTACTGGCTGTTGAAATAGACTCAAGCCCTTTGAAGTAATTGGGGCATCCTTTGCAGGCTCATAATCTGACCGTAAACATTATTTCCTTCCTTTTGTAGCTTGAAAGGAACATCACTCATGAAAAAATAGTGGCCTGGAGCAGCTCAGAGAATATGTCAGAAGAAACAGTAGCCGTCTCCTTCCCGCAGTTTACCCTGAAAGACAGCTACGATCTCAATTCTATTCTACGGGACATGGGCATCACGGATATCTTTGAGGAAGGGAAGGCTGATCTTACTGGAATCTCTCCAAGTCCCAATTTGTACCTGTCAAAAATTGTCCATAAAACCTTTGTGGAAGTGGATGAAGATGGCACTCAGGCAGTTGCCGCCAGTGGGGCTGTTGGCATGGAAAGGTCCATACTTTCCCGGGTGACGTTTACTGCTGATCACCCTTTCTTCTTTTTCATCAGACACAACAAAACCCAAACCATTCTCTTCTATGGCAGGGTCTGCTCTCCTTGAAAGGAGCACACTGTCTAGGGCCCAGGAGCTGGAAGAAAGTGGCAGTATGGTCTCCCCCTGGCATAACATGGGCATTTGCATTCTTGCTGATATCTTCTGTCACAGCTCCAAGCCCCCTTCCTCCGGCCACTCGGCCTGTGCTTGTCCTGATCCTTCTCTCAACCTGTAGCTGACTTTCATCTACCCCCATTAGTATTGAAGTCCCTGGCTCCCTCCCTGGCCTTTCATCATACTAAGCTTTCAAGCATATAATTCACCCTCTGTGACCTGCAGGTCATGTAATTGAGAATGGTACTAACTTTAAGTTCCCTACCTCCTTATAAAGGAATCCTGAAAGATCAAGTCATTAGACCATTAGACCACTTCTAGGGGAGGATAAATTCAGAAACCACTTTAACATGGGCAGTGGGAGGAAATGTTTAAATGGAATGTGTTTTGGAAACTCAGCTCTATTTCTGTGGTAGTTAAAACCCGAGTCATCGCTGGGCAAGACACCCTGCCTCTTCCTCTCCCATCTTCTTCTACTGCATGGAAGATGCCCTGTAAGATGTTTCTCACCGAGGAGAAAAGCTACCCGTGGATTTAAGTGAGAGCTCAAGGACGGAAGCCTGTCCTGACTAGCACTCATCCTGCGCAGATCAGGATATGTTTTGTGAATCTGACATTGAACTAGGAGAGTGGCAGTGGATTTAAAAATTAGTCTCAGCTTTCCTTATTGAGTCTCCTAGGCCATCATCATGAAGCATGATCTTCTGTGTCTTCTTCACCCCCTTCCTCAGAGAATTCTCTTCTGAAGTTACCCCTAATACCCAGCATGTTAGGTGGGGGAGGGGAGCGCTACCCTCACTGCAGACTGCCAGGCTCCCCAACCCCTTCTGTCAGGAGTCCGGCCACATGGACCTATTTCCTCCTGGAGGCCTTATGCCTGGTCACATCCTGAGAGCAGGCCTGGGTCTGGGCATGATACATGTGGAAACCTTTGTCAGGAAGGCCCTTGGCTTCATATCAAGCTCTAGTCTATTGAAAGCCGTATGCCTGAGTGTTTAAGACTCCAGAACCTGGGACCTTCATTCTCTGATAGGTCTGTCTGAATTCTTGATTTCTGCCTTAGCTGAACACTCTGGAATGACTACTAACAATGTCTAAGTCGAGGACGTGGACAGTCGTTCTGTCAAGGTGAATTTCTGGTCTTGGTCGTGGCCCTGTTTCCCTGCCCTGCCCTATGAGCGTCCTCCTCCCAGTTGCCACCATGTTGGTTAAGTGTGGCTGTGGCGGTTTTTGCAGGAGAAGGTAGGTTAAGTTCAGCTGCTGTCATGCTGGCCCCGGTCCCCCCGTTTTCCTCTATATTAATGATTTCTTTGTGCTGTGAGGGACAAGTTCCATGTTCCCCATACAGGCTTCTCATTGTCAAAGGTTGTTTGTGGTATAAAAAATCTCTCATTGATAATGTGAGGCAGCTTGAGGTGGCTCTTCCAAGTCCTTTCCACAGAATGCAGGTCACATGGGTCAAATTTATGTCAGATAATCAAATACATAGTCTCTTCTGTGGTTCTTTGTGGGGTTGACGTTTTGAAGATTCCATGCCTGAGCTGGCATTGCTGTTGGATACTGAGCTGGATAACCATGACCTGTGTGAAGGTTTGGCATTTTCTGGCATTGCTTATTCTTTTCTTTGATAAACACATCTTCTCATTTGTATTGGGATCTCTTAGAATTTTAATCACAAAGGGAAAGTGTATCTATTTACAAAAATGAGAGTGAGATTCTTAAATCTTTCTGTGAATCAGTAAACTTACTCTTTACTAATCTTTTTCAATTGATTAAAATGTTTCTTCTTAGTAAATAAAGCACTTTTGTCATTAGTTAAAATGTGTACAATATTTTATGTGCCAACTGACTTTTTTAGTGACATAAACCTCACTTTAATTTTTTTCATCCCAAAATATAGAAATACATAATCTATGAAACTAACCATTCACCTCAATTATGTTGGGAAGATATATCTTGTGCCAGAAAATATTTCCCAATTTTCCACCATAATTACATATGAAATTGTAATTATATAAAGATGAAAGCTTGCAATGATGCTAAAATCTAGGAGTGACAGCCAGTGGATCATCAAACGTTTCTTCTTTCTCTAGCCATTTGAAGACTGAATGAAACTCCCCCAATACAATGCACAGGAAGGTGAGGAGAGGTATTGGCACTTTCAACGTTGGGCAGTTTAGTCTTCACAAGGAGACTATTTTTGGTGGGACAAGGACAGAAAGAACCCTGGTGGCAATGTTGTTGGGTTCATATATTTCATTTGTCCCCTCTGTTTGGAGTGTCAGAGAGTCAGACCATACAGGGAGGACAGTGGAACTACAGTAGATGGAAGCATATGAGAAGTGGAATTATGCTCAAATTTAGGAGCTCTTGACTCTTCATTCTTGCGCCAGTGAGATTGACCCTTTAATATGGCAGCCAGAGGCACAGAGAACATGCAAGTCTGTGCTCTATAAGTGCTAGAAAACCAGCCAGAACATGCAAATCTGGGGAGTGAACTCCTCCATTTCTAGTTCAAGATTCCCTCCACCCAGCAACGGTGACAGGTAGGACAAATGAGGCGATGTAGATTCCAAAACAACCGATTCATTTACTCCTACTACAAACATTCTGGGAATATAACTGCCAATGTGTCATACCCAACAGGCTCTCTAGTGCTCTCCAGGTGACAGGCTTTGTATATTCTATTTTATTTCACCCCGGGCCCTCCTTATGATTTCAAACATTATCTAATGTATCTTTCTCCTCAAACTCCTCCCCAGTTTTTTCTTGAGCTGGAGCAAGCCAGAACATATGTGGCTTCATCCCTGATTGCTGTTTGCTTCTTTTGCATGTGTGGCTTTTTAAAGATTTTTTATTACAGTATCATTAACCTTAGGTGGGGGCCTTATGATTGGGATGATGGGTGAGGAAGCTGTGCCGTGTCTCAGCGGGTTTCTTTGCTCTGTAGTTGAATGCCAATGTCAAATGTGTTCTTCATCCACATTACTCATGTTGTGTTCGTTTTCTCAAATCCATCATATTTATCCATCAATAAATATAACACAAGATTATAATTAAGAGGCACACTTCTTACCAAAGTATTCTACATGCTTAAGATTTAATTTAAAAATTCTCATATTCTCATACATCGTTTCCCTTCTAAATAATGTTATCCATCATGTGCATCAAACAATGTTTTAGCTATAGATGGGTTAAAGGATTTGAGAAGCAATCAAATGCACAACAGTGGAGCTGGTAGAAACCCACACACCTTTTGTTGACACATATAGGTTCTGAACAGATCATCCCAGGTCCAAGGTTATGTAAATGGGGAAAAATATAGAGCTTTAAAAAAATTAGTGCCCAATAAGGAATGAGTACATCATGCTATAGACAAAAAAATGAAGCTTCAGAAAATGATTTGTGGCAAGAACCAGAAGAGAACTTTAGAAACCTTTTTGGTATGATTGATAGGTTTGAAGAAGGCAGGGCATCTGTGGAATTGAAGCAGAAGTCTATGAAGATAAATGGTAGATAAATTGTGACAAGGTGTGAAAAAATTGGATGAAATATAAAAAGACTGCCAGGGACCTAAAAATACAGTAGCAGAATTCAAATAGATTTTAGAGGAAGTAAAGAAGCAAAACTGATGCACTGGAAAATTTAATTAGTGATGAATAGGGTGTATTTCAGAGTTTGTCTTAGAATATATAGGAAATAATAAAAGGGAAATTCGTAGCTATAGAGAACAGAAAGTAAACCCAAGAATTATGGTGTTTCTGAGAAAACAAACATATTAATTGGCATGAAATTAAGAATCAAGACACAATAGAAAACTTTCTTAACTTGGATAGTCACCTGATTACATGGATTGATTTCCAAGAAAAGTAAGCAAAAATAGACTTCCTAAAAAACTGTAAAAATAAAAGGCTGAGAAAATAATTCTATTAACATTTGGGCAAAAAAGGACATAGTTCACTTAAAAAGGATAAATAATCAGAGGGTCCTCAGACATTCATATTGTGTTAAATTTCTGAAGACAGGGAAACCTAGTCTACAGGTTTGAAGGGAAAATATATGATTAAAGAATTTCCTGCTCAGTCAAGTTGTAAATGCAACAGAAAATCCTTCCTAGCTGTATTTCTGCACAGGTGAGAATGGTGTGTTTAATCCCCAGGACCTGGCACCATGCTATAAACATCAGAGGAATTGAAATTGGATTCATGTTGCTTTGAGTAGAATCCAATGCAGTCAAAAGCTCCAAAAGTAAAGAAATACATCCAGTAAAAATATGATTTCAACAGACAGCCCCAGGAAGAAGAGAAATTCTTAATATTAAATTCTAATTATGTCCCCAAATTGTTGGCAGCTGTGACTTTTTCCTTTGGCATTATTATTATTTTTTTTAAACATTGAGTCCAGGCATGGGATAAGTTTCAATATCCAGAATAAGACTACAGTCACAAAATCTCTGAATTGGAACAGTAATAGTTCTGGATATTTGTTGAGTACTTACATGTACTGTACTGATCAAAGACTTTTATATGTGCTAGCCCATTTAATCCTCTCAGTCTTCCTCAGAGGTAGGTTATTATTAGTACCTACAGTTAACAGATGAGGAAACTGAGGCACAAAGTCACCCAGGTTGCAGACGATTGATCTAGGAGTTTGAACCCGGCAGTCTGGCTGGATATCATACAGTGGATTTCTGATCACTACCCTATATATCCTCCCAAGTAGAAATGAGAACCTAATAGACCATTTACTTCCATTTCTTTATTTTACAAGCATGCCCTTTGAGGGCCAAGGACTCACTCGAGATAAAGTTTTGGGTTCCAGTGTGCTTTGAGCTTTGAGGTGGAGAATTCAGGGGGCAAAAGGAGTATGGGGTGGGCAATCATGGTGGTGGAGGGTTCAAGTTCTTCAGTAGGAGCCACCTGGCAGGGGTGCATCTTCCTGTCCTGGCCCTGTGCCCAGCAGTGAGGGACAGAGTTCTTTGCCCGCTGGCTGTGAGTTCACTTGAGTCACAGAGGCATAGCCATGCCACCAGGTGACTGCTACAGTCACAGAGGAGGACAAATTCCCACTCAAGGGGTATAAGCTGCTAGCATCCTTGCCAGGAAGCACATACAGAGCCTTCCACTCCTAAATTGCTAAAGCAGGCAGGGGAAACTGCAAAACAGCATTCATAAACAGTCTAATAGGGAGTCGCAAAGACAGAGACAAGTGTATGACATAGATTACCAAATGTCTGAA